TTCCTGACGGCCAGCTCGTGCGACCGGACAAACCGGAGCCTGCGGTTCTCCGCCTCAGCGCGGTGAAAGGCACTGATGGCACCCGGAGGAACCTCGAGAGGCTGAAGGAGGAGTCCATCAAGAAAAACGTGGTCATCCTCGGCGCCAGGAGAGGCGAAGATATCGCCCCCAGGATCGGAAACACGATCGCTACTCTGTGCGCCAAAATCGGGGACATTGCCCGATTCCTGGAGATGGGAGTGAGATCCAGGGCAGGGCCTATCCTCCCGACCAAGAGTGATCCTGACCTGATGATCCAGGCCATTGTTCCCGCACCCGAGGAGCTTCTGGACTACTTCGCCGACGAGATCCGTCAGAAGGTGAAGGGTAGAACGGGCGCCTCTTCGCACTACTACAGGAGAGCATGCGCGGAAATACGCGACGCGCTCCGTGGAACAGCTGTGCAGCCTGGAAATGCAGGTGCAGTCAAGGACCCAGAGTTGGAGGCCTCGTCTGCCAGCGGGCAAGGGAACGTTACTTCGGTGATACAACTGAAGAGGTTCCTGAGCCACTACTTCGGGACCAGCGTCGAGTCCGAGGATGCCTTTTCTTCATACCTCCTGTCTTCCTTTCTCGAGGATGGGGTGGGAATGTTCGAGATCATCATCACCGTCATTCGTGACAAGGAGCGTCGGTTGCTGCCTGGTTCCGCCCGCATAGCGGCGGTAAGGTCGCTTGAAATCGGATCCGACACTGATTACCGGGCATTTCGTGAACGATACCAATACATGCTCTACGAGAGCCCTGTTTGTCTTCCTATCACCTCCAAGGTGGTTCCTAAGACGCTCTACAAGGTGGTGCCTCTCCGAATGTATCGGCTCTACGTAGAACGTGGGGCGATCATTCGGGGTGGGCGAGCTCTGATCGAGCTCCTTCCCTCTCGGCCGGATGAGTATCAATCCCTCCGCGATCACGGAGAGTGCCCCAACGACACTGTCGACCGCATCACCGACAGCAACGTGACGGAGCTGCACACCTCGGGTCGACGCCAAAGGAGCGATCCCCGATATGTGGTCATGGCTATCGATGCACGTTTCTTCTCCATGGAAAATGGGGGCATGCATATTACTCGTCAGGGTACCTTTGCGTCGCGCGAGAACATCGCGATCGGGTACTGGAGATGCGTCTACTTCAAGGAGGACTGCTCCATCATTTACCTGAGGCCTTGGTGCTATCCGCCCAACTTCCTCAACTCCTTGAGTGATAACCCGAGGAAGTGTCGGGACGAGATGGAGAAGTACCATCAGATCACCAAGACGGAACATGTCCGCGAGGTGGTGTCCGTTCCATGCCATAGGTGCATGACGGCCCATCCGGTCGGCGCTCACCTGTGCACCGCCTGCTACCTTCCCATCTTCTACGATGGCGTCCTGCCCACCGGAGACACGAACGGCGGCCCTCGCACGATAGCGAGCACTGACGGGTTGGTTCCTCCCTGGCTGGCAAAATACGAGGGCTTCGTCCCCGCTCTGTGGAACAACTCAGACGCCAACGCCATCGGAATGGCCCTCTACTCGCAGAGTCCCGCCGTCGATGCCCGGTCCTTGTTGATGTCTGGGATGCGGCCTCCTAAGTACCTTGACAAAGAGGACGTGGATGGCATTTTCCGGAAACTTCACGACTCGCTCCGAGACGAAGTCCTTGACGGCAAATACCGTGACACGGTCGACAACAACGTGGAAGAGTGGGTAGCAAAGGCGATCCTGGTAAGGGGTCTGGCCTTCAACGGGAGCTCCGTCCCCGAATTCTTCGAAGAATATGAGGGATATGCGGCTGAGTGGGGCAGACGCCTAACCACCGCAAACTTCAACGCCAACCGGTGCGGTTTCTACACGTCCTACTACATTCTTGAGGCCCATATCATTGGGCTGAGAACAGGACACCTTTCTCCGATACTCCCCAACGATGTGTCCGGGGAGGGATTCAAGTTCCAGGTGGGGCTGCTCGCACAGCACTGCGGGATATTGCAGGCCATGCGGAGAAGGGCCGGTTTCGATCCTGCCGCGCGCCTCAAACGGGCTATGGACACGATACGGGAAGGCATTAAGAAGGGGTATGTCTACACCCTCAACGACCTCAGCAGTATGGACGATCTGATCTACCGGACGTCCACCGTTGCCTACGACACCTGCTTGGCCGACCGTCCTCAAACCCAGGATGACATCAAACAGGAGCTATCCGACCCTGTACCAAGGAAATACCGCTTCCGACCCCGCGATCGCCATCGACCCGGAATTCGCCTTACACCAGGCCCCGGCGTGAAGGACGAAGACGAGCCCGACTTTGCTGGATCAGCGGAGGATGAGCTGGGATCGGATGGTTCTTCGCACGAAGATGACGAGAAGCCTGACGACCTTGACGAGCCCATGGGCGACGACGAGGAGGAGATCCCTCCCCCTCCGCCACCGCCCCCGGCTCCTCCTGCGCCGCCTGTCCCGGTAGAACCGGAGACTCCCGTGGTGCCGCATGCAGGCGTCATTTCTGGCGATGCTGTGCCAACTCCTCCTCCTCCTCCTCCCGCTCCCATTGCGGCAGGCGTTACTACGACTGGGGATCCGTTTGAGGAAGAGGACATGGCCATCAATACTCGTGTCCCTGACACCGAGTCCGAGCTGGAGGGTGAGTCCGACCAACCCAAGGCCAGAAGGACATCTCGCGGTCGGGTCCCCGCGCCCGAAAAAGGGCAGGGGGGCGTTCAGGTCCCGCCTAGCGGGCAACCCAGCTCTAAGAGCATGGCCCAGCCTGCCCGCCCATCCCCGGTCCCCGCGAGAAGCGGTGTGGAAGGTGGGGAGAGAAGGGGCAGGACTAAGGGTTTCTACACCCAGAAGGATCCTTTTACCGGCGAGGACGCGACTCCCCGAGTTCGTCTTCGATCGGGCGGTCCCGGAACTCCTGCGTCCCCACCACGGGATGCCACCGGTTCCTTGGGCGGCCATCGCGGCTATGACCCGCGTGATGACGACAACGACGAGTGGGAGCTTCCCCCGGGTGTGCCTCGGACCACTCGTGCGGCAGATGAGTCGCGGCCCCGACGAGATGACGATCGGTCAAGGACCGCGCTTGGGGCCCGCGAGGATCGTCGTGGTCCTAAGGGTGAGGGGAAGGGTCGAGGAAAACATCGACCTGGCAAAGGAGGACGTGAGGATCCCGGCCCGCCCCGACAAAGGGATGATCGTGGCAGGGACACCCGCGGAGGCCGACGCGATGATCGCCGACCTCCTCCACGTCATGAGGAGACCTCCGAGAGGCGCGGCCCGGGGCGAGATGAGCGCCGCGGACGTGATGACCCGGGCGATGACCGTCGCGATCGCCACCGGGACCGGCGCAGGGATGACCGACGTCACCAATCAGATCCCCCTCCGCCTCGCCGACCTCCGGCTGGCGACCACAATAGGGGTGGTGGTGAGGATCGCCGTCGGGATGGAGGAGGTGATCGAGGTGACCGTGGTGGACGCCGAAGAGACGACGCGCCCAGGGACCGGGAAGAGCCTGGTTCAGGGTGGTAGACGGGTGCCGCAATCAGCATCCGCCTTAGAAGGGCGAGGATAGTACGTGTGTCGCCGACAAACGCGACCGCGCCGGTCCTCCTCTCGCCCGTGCAGCGCTGCTGGGGGTGATGATCTCCATTGCCCTGTACCGCTGATCCGGCGTTGCTCGTGTCCCTCCCGCACCGCTGCCGTGCGCGCCGGAGACGGTTCCCCTGGCGATCCTGTGTGAGGCTGTGACCGCACTAGAAGTGCCGGGCCGGCCATTGCCAGTTATTTTCACACCAATTTCGGAACTTCCGTTTCTAATTTCCTCCCAACTCGACTACTCTTCCAACCGCTCCACGGCGTGCAGTGAGGCGCGGTGATCCAGATAGGATCCCCCTCCGCATGGCATCGTCCCATGACGACTCATGAACGGCACGAGAGGAATCTTCGTCTGGTTCCTCCAATATGTCTTTGTTCACTCATGTGGTCCACTCGTCAAATAATCCTGTCGCCCCGATAATTCGGGGTGGTGGCGGGATTTTAACTGGGGCCCAGGTGATGCCGTTTGGCTCACCTCTGAGTTGACACCGGCATTTTTGGTTGGTCCCTTTCGTCGTGAACTCAACTGTCTCGCATCCTTTCTCTCGTCCTGATATCGGATGAGGGGGGTGTGTTTTGTTCACGTGTTGTTTCATCATGTGGCAAAGCGGCCGAATGGCCGTTTGGCTCAAGTTTAACCTCCCGTCAGGTTAGTTTTGGTAGCACGGCACTCGCCATAGCACGGCATCTCGCTGCGTCGCCGAGAAAGGACTCTCGGCGCTGGGGTGGGCTGGTGCTAGGAGGTAGGTGGTGCTGCGGCAGGACTTGCCTGGGCCTGGTTAAGGTGATCTTTTGCAACTTGCTGTTTAACCTTCACTTCAACCACCTCTTCCTCAATCATCACGTCCTTCAACCTGGTCACCGGCTTCAGTCCACTGAGTCGTGAGTCCGGGTTCTTTGGGTTCTTCGTGGATTACGTGAACCCTTTTTGATTCCCTGGGCAACGCCCTTTCCGCCCAAAACCGCAGTTTTGATTGGGAGACTTACACCCAGCATGAACCACTGGGTTCTTCAAGTCCTCGTGATCCCAAGGGACACCCTGCGTCATAGCTAAGCCAGGTTGTCCCAGTACGGTGGCACCCTGACCCATTTTTGCTGGGCGAGTTCGGGACCTTACGGTCGCCGGACAACGGATTGCCCGCCAAAATGGTCGACCCCTTTTTCCCATGCTCAACCAAAAAGACACGGCCCCCTTTGTCTTGACTGCTATTGGGTTGGATCTTTAGACTTCAACTTCTTGGGAAATCAAGGGGTTTTCCAGTAAACCCACAAAAAGTTGAAAAAAACACACTTTTTGCAGGATCAACAGCAACCAAGTTTGTCTACCGAACGGGTCGACCCCTGTTGCACCTGGTCGTACCTTGAGATTGCGCCCCTTCGCCAACCCGCATGACCCACGCCCCGCAAGGCCGAGCTACCTCAAGCCCAAGCTCCCACCCGTGCGGAGTCCAAGGAACCGAACATAGGCAGGGAAATCGAAGCCTTTATGACATGGCCAGGAAAGCTTCATTTGGCTCAGTCCAAGGGGAATTCACCTTTTGACCTTTTGTTTTTCCGTGTTTTTGTCTATACTTAGTCCTGACCTTAAAAGGTTCACCTTTTATTTCCAGATCCTCAAAAAGGGCAAACTCTTTGCACCGGGACGCCAAAGGAGACGCCACCGTCTGTAGGGCGCCCTTATTTTGACTCACCTCTCGCATACCCATCTAAAGGCCCAACGCACAGTGGTCAATCGAACTGTCCAGCTTCGCAGAGACCTTGTTTTTTGCCTGGATCTATATTCATCAATTGGAAGGACAGATGCAAGAGCTAGAAGGAATTGACGTGTTGCAAAATGTGAGACATCCTTGCCTCTTGGCTAAAATGAGGATGGCGGACAATACCTTATGGGGTTCAACATTGACCAAGCTGCGAATAAATAGCCAATTTGGATTCATTCTCATTCTTGCTCGGTGATGTGTGAAGGGGTCTTTCTTAGCACTGGTCGCTTGAAGCAACAACATGTGAATCTTGTTGAGGGAGCCAACAAAAACCACACCAAAGGGGGGTGGCCTCAAGACGTCATGTAAAGCCGTCATCCCTCTTTAGAAGAACATCTTAGTTTCAGATTGTCTAACGTCCCGGTGTCCATTGTAAGCGGTCGGGAGAAGAAAACAACCGGTCTCAACAAGCGATCTATGTTGGTCTCCGTTTGATTTTCAAGGGATTGAAACTCTGAGTGATTCAGGTCACCGGCCTGCAGGGCAGAACTGAAAGTGGCTGGTGAAATAGCTACTGCTAAGAGGGTTCTACCCAGGTTGTGAGCACCTTCTTCTTTGGTGATTTTCCTGGTTTTCCCTCAAGGAGAGTGTGGGATTGTGGCAATTAATTGCGAGAATGGTTGGTGGCAACACGGTGAATAATGTGGGCCCCCAACTGAGAGTCACATCGACGTATGTGTTGAAATTGGGTTTGCTTGGGCCCCCCAAATGGGTAGGTTTTGCATTGAAGTCAAATCCAGATTGATACGTAGACGTTTTGACGAGTAGGTGTGTCCAACACTCGGGCACCCCTCAAACATATTTTGGCTTTCCTTTCCCTCCCCAAAGGGAGACACCGTACTGTGAGGACACGCTGGGTTTTAAAGTTCCTTTGACTTGGTGGTTCCCAGCCATCCCCTTAGGTTTTTGGGCTTTAGGCTTTAGTTTCCACCAAACCACCGAAATTTACACTCTTGGCAGGGATCTCAGAACAGCCCAGTTGATATCTCCCTTTTGCCCAAAGAAGCCGCCACCCCGCCCCCCCCCCTCAACGGGTCCGACGTTTTCAGCGGCGAGTTGCGACTCCGAGGCGCCAGAGAAGATCGGCCGCGCGCGGCGCACTGAGATCTGGGCACGTGCGCTGGTGCTGAGTGTCTGCCTTCATTTGGGTGTGCTGTTTTGGAGGCGAAGTCACCGGGCAAGTTATAGGGACCAGATCAAAGGGGTTTAGATCAGTGAGGTTGCTAATGTTGTAAACATGTTAGTGTGGGTTAAAGGGGATTTGCATTGAACACTGCTAAACAACATGTTGGCATGAAGGATCCACATCATTGCGGGCGGGCCGCGGAGGGAGGGGGGGGGGAGGGGCACCAGCAACCGACCACTGTCTGCCAAGTTTTCGCTCACGTGGCGGTTGGATCGTGTCAACCTTTGCGTTTGCGTCTCCCAGGTTGCGGTGGCTGACGCAGGGGCCACTGCAGATGACTTCTGAGTCGCGCCGGCCGCAACAAGCGCGGGAAGGGTGAGGGAGCTGGCGCCTGCCTGGGCAAAAGCGCTCAACGTGAAAATCGTGGGAATACTTTGGGTGTCAACACGCTTCGGGTGGTGAAGGAAACCAGACAATCTGAGCAGTGTTGTGCCAGTGTCGAGGGTCTATTGGTGTTTCATGTGAGTGTGTTTCTTGTTTGTTCCTTGTTGGTCTGTTGCAAGTTGATGAAATGGCCAGCTTGATTTGGTTGAGGGCACCTTCAACTAAAAAAATCACGTCCTTTGGCAAACGGCGCTTTGGGCTGGTGCTTTGCAACGAAAACCAGCGTCTCGACCCCCAGCCTTGGGGATGGGTAAGCCGGGTGACCGGGGCAACTGGGGTTCATGAGCTGCTGCCAACCGGTATCCCTTGCATGAGTCTTCCTTGCTGCGCGTGCACTGCCCCGGGACCCGTGGAAATGTGTTGAACTGGGAACCTGAGATATTGTTTGGGGTTCTCAATGGCTTTCTGAGAGCGAAGGGATCATTCCACTGACCAAAAGCCCCATGGATAAGGGCTCAACTCGGGACGAAAGCCATGCTTGGCTTTGGTCGACCAAGCTTGTTCGATTTGCGACCTTCCAGCAACCAGCCAACGCACGCGTGGCGCGTTTGTGGCGCTTTTCGCCTTGGCCTTCGGGTGGTTTTCAAGGCAGCTGGGGAAGGCACTGGCCAAGAAGCCCTTGGTCTACCTCTTGGACCCTGAGAGCTCCTACCAGAAGGCCCTCCAGGCACCGGCGAAAACAACGAAAACGCCGACGCATAGACCTCAGATAGCGAGAAACTGCATCTGCGCCAGCCCTAGCCTTCAATCTCGCAAACTAAACAACACCCTGAACAGCCCCAAACAGCCAGGCCGCCAATCCCGCAAAAATGCGCCCGCAGCGTCACCAGCAAACAGCACCCCAAAGCACGCCTGCACCACCATCCCCCAGCACCCTGCCCGTCAATCTCGCAAAGATGCGCCCGCACCGTCACCAGCACCTGAAACAGCATCCCAAGCAGCACCCCAAACTGCATGCCACAGCAGCACCTGCTCCAGCACCCCAAACTGCATGCCTCGTAGCACCCAGCCATCCATCTCGCAAATCACTTTCTCCTCTTTATTAGAAGTTAGACCCCCGGCCTAGCAGGTTCTTCCTTTCTTGGCCGTTTTTGGGGAGGGGCAGACCCCGGAACCGGCACTAAGGCTTTCTTTCTAACCCGATGAGCACCCCCCTCTCTGGCCTCGAAGGGTTCTGCTAGGGTGACAGTGGTTTTTGCCGTTTCGGCTCCGGTTTGTGTTGGGTTCAGGCCGCGCGTCCGGGGGCAGCTGTGGCAGCCTCTCTTGTCTTTTGTTTTTGTTTCTGGCCCCCCCCCCCCCCCGGTCGGTGTGTGTGTGTGTGTGTGTGGGTTGGTGTCTGCTTTGATGCTCCTCTCTTTCCTTTTCCCTCTCTTCGTTCTCTCTTTCCTCTTTTCTTCTTTGACTCCCCTCTCTTTTTTCCTCTTTTGGCCGTGTCTTGCTGGGTTGTGGGCCCGGGTGTGACCCCGAGTTCCCTTTTTTCTCTTTGGCTGTCGTGCGTGTGATCGCACTCTCGGGTGTTTACTGCTGGTGTGAGCCGGCAGCCCCTGTGGGTGTGACTCCGCAGGCTTCCGTCTTCTTGCGTGTGTAGCCGGTGTGATCCGGCTGCCCCCGTAAGTCATCCTGCCCACAGGACTCATGGACCTGTGCGCGGAAGGTGCTTTGCTGGAGGGCAGCGATGCGTCGAGCGTTGCGTCTGCCAGCGAGGTGGACCGCTTGGACCTCCAAGTTGGCGCAATGGAACAGCTCCCTCGCTTCTCTGGCACGTGTCTGGGTGACTGCGTGTCTTGGAAGGGGTCAGCCACCTTGCATTTTGTGTGTTGTTGCAGTCCGGGGTCTGGATGCGATAGGTATGACTGGGGCAGGCACTGGGGCCGATGCCTCTCCGCCCTCGGCGCCGACGTTGGCGTCGTTGCTGAAACGCGTGTGCGAGGGGAAAAGGCTCGCTGGACGGGACTGAGGGTTCCTTTCCTTTTCTGTTGTTTGTTTTGTTCTTCCTCGCCATCGTGCAACTCGGCCGCATGGGCACCCAGAAGCTGGCGGTGAGGCCTGCTATGACGTTTGCGGAGCAGTGCCGTTGACCCGACAGTTCGGACCGCAGAGGAGTTTACTTGGTCGCCCTCCAATCCAATCCACTCCAATTAGAAGTTAGAACCCCTATAGCCTATAGCCTTCAGCTATCTGGGGAACAACAACAGGCTCTGATAGAAGCACCACCACACTGTTTTTTCCTTTGGGATAAAAGTCAAGGCAAAAGCTCGTAGAAAGGGCACATTTGCACATGTTCCGCAAGCCATCTAGCCCACAGGGTTTGGGTTCAGGCGAGGAATCGCCGCAGCACTGCCTAGATTCTCCCAGGGCAATTCGGGCTTTCCACTTGGGCTCCTCGTCCAAACCAACCTTGCCCTGCCAAAATGGCTTGCTGAATCCCCCTTGTGACTTGTTCTTTAAATGGCAGGGAAGACCTTGCTGAACTTGATTCATCTGAAGCATGCACGGAAACAAAGGACATCTTGACGCAAAGGGATGTCTGCTCTGCTTGTAAACCAGGGGAACCACGGTGGCCTTTGGTTTCCCACCGCCGCAACGTGTTTAGGGGGGTCAAACACCTCCACTGCAAGAAGCTGTGGTGTTTCCATTCAACTGGGGCCATTCTGTTGACTGTTTCTAGGGCACGTTCAAATTCGCACCCCGAAAAATTGGCCGAGCAAAGCTCTGCGCAGCCGCGCACTGGCGCGCGGGCGCCGGCAGGTGGCGCCAGAGCAGTGGCGCTCCGCGGAAGCGCTGCAGGCGCTGCTCAGGAGGGAGCCACAGGTCTTGGACCTGCCCGGTGGCCCAACGGGGCAGGGCCCGATGCGGGGAGGTGTCAGATTCCAAAGTGGGGAGGTCCTTTCAAGGGACCCTGGAAGAAAGCACCCTTGTCACCATGAAACTGGTGATTCTTTTGGGTTGGTCCCCACCTTTTTTGCCGATGTTCTGGGCCAATTTTTGCCTTTTCAAGTATGAATCATGTAAATGCAAGAAGTTGAGGGGCCAGAAAACGGGATGAGGGGATCTTGCGGGTGGGTTGGCGGTCCCCCTGGTAGTTGGACGCGAGTAGGGCACATTCCCAACTTACGTAGAGCAAAGCTCTTGTGATTCCTCACCTGATCGTTTTGTTTGGTTTTGTATATCACAAGTCTTGGTGGACCACAATCTCCGGTTTTTTCACATCAACAAGTACAACCGAAGAATCATGTCCGGCTTCAGGACGCACAATTGTTTGCTCACTGACCCCGCGGAGCGTGGCTGCCTCAGTCAACTTCGGCAGTGGATTGCTGGCGGGCAACCCCCAAACAAACAAGCATGAGTAGGAACAACTGAATTGGTCCTATTGCTGGACAAGCAACTCCAGGGGCAAGCCTGAGGACCACGCAATAAGAAGCCTTTCAGTTGGGCCTTTCCGTTGTCTTGATGGCCCTTCCCAAGCCCCCCCCCGCTGTGTTGAAGGGGCTATGTAAAACCATGCACAAGCCGCGTTGCAGTAGGAACGGTGAAGTCAACGGGCCGCCAGGTTTTCCCTTGAGCCTCTACAAGTGTTGCGAGCGGAAATGTGAGATCTGTGGATGAGAAGACTACAGCAAAGTGGATACTCTTCGTACGATTTGCAGGGGTTTGGGGGGGGAGAGGTGAATTCCACCAGAGGAACGTTGGTCAAACTTCAAGAGAGCAAGGCTGGAGGCCGCTTCAACTAAGCAGTCGCCTCAGGGAGTTTGTTTGAAGCACAGTGTTGCTTGTTTTCGCCTGTTGGTTTCTGAAGGGTAAGGGTCCTGATTGGTAGTCTAGGCGTCATCAACGAGGATGGGCAGGCGGTGCACTGTGATGGCAAGTGACCGGGCCCCCAGAGGCACTTGGGGCCGATGGTTTCCTCACTGCACACCTTTGGAAGCGCCTTGAAGCCTCTGTCTTGCGCGGTAGTCGGCTCAAGACGTGGCGAGCGATTCCAGCTCCAAGTACAGTACCTCGAGCAGGCTTGAAACACATGATGACCGTTAACGATCTTGGGACGGCTGAGCTTGCGTGGCAGCTACCTTAGAGTCACGTACACATTGAACCTTTGTGCTTGTACCCAAATCTCAAATTTGTCAATCGCCACTCGTGTATTGACTTCGACTAGAGGTGAGGCGGTGGAGTCAGTCTTTTATTTGGGCTCTGGGGCCGCGTCCAGGCAACTTGAAAACTCGGCCAGCTTGGAAACTAGAGTTGAAGAAGGGGACATTGCAGTGGCTTGTCACTAGTGCTAAGATCCGAGCCAAGTCCTTTCTTTGTGACATGTTGCTTTTGTAGGTTGATTTTTTCTGCGCGCTTGCCAGGTGCATTCCGTTTGTTGAACCTCCCAAGGGCAACAGTTAGCCAAGTCTGTCACATGGTTTCGTGCCAATGGCGCAGGGCGAAGGGGCGCCTTGGGCACCATCCAGGGATGGATTTTTAGGGATCCTGGATGGGCAGGGCCTTGGAGGGCGCGCCTTTTCAATCCTGAATTCTACATCCAGGATCCCTGAAAATGATTCGCGAGGGCATGGTAGGATGTCAGTTGTGTGCGGTATGTTTCCTTCTTTTTTTCTGTTTTTTTGTTTTTCCGCCGGCTGAGGGCCAAGCACTGCGTTGAGGCTGTTTTCGAGTTGGTAAGACGTTTGCACCGGCAACCAAGGCAAACCCCCCTTTTTTGGGCCAATCGATTTACGTCCAACTCCGACCTCTTCACGTTTTGGGCTTCGCCTTGCATGTCAGGTCAAAAAGGTGATCACCTTCAAACTTGAGGTCCAAGTGGTTAGCCGGTGAGAAGTAGCGATGCCCAAGTGGTTCGCCGTAAGCCAGGCCCCAACCACAGACCTCCTGGTTGCCGTTGGTGAAGCATTTCACATTTTTGCTTCTTGTGGTTTGGTTGAAGTCCCCACTGAACTGCTAAACTTGAAATTTGTTTGCTCCCATTTTACATTTTTGCTTATTGCGGTTTAGTGGGAAACCCCCACTTAGCTGCTAAAATGTGTTTCTTTTGCTCTTCCATCAACCAAGCTTTGGCAAATTTTCGGTTTGATGGGTTCTCCACGTGCAAACGGGCTGCCCCAAAACGGGCTCGCCTTCCCACGTCAAGCGCAGTTCTCCGAGCCGGATCAAGGCACCCACTGCTGGCGCACCGCCAGCCCGAAGCTCATGGGCCAGGCAGTTTTTTTGGCAGTTGGTTTCAGTGATGTCTTCGTTGATTCCCTTTTGTTTTTGGTGGCTTCCCCGCTTTGTTTTTTCCTCTTGTTTTTTCTTTCATTTTTTGGTGTGTGCTTTGATTCTCCTTTTTGGTGGGTTCCCCTTGGTGTTTCTTTGTTTTTCGTTTTGGGTTGCCTTCTGGATTGTTGAGAGAGTGTTTTGTTTGGGCTTCTCCTGTTCGCCCTGCTTCCCTTGTTTGCCCGGCATTTTTTGATACACCCCCTGTTTCCTTGATTTTCCCTGTTGCCCCTGTTTCTTCAGCTGTTCGGGTCTTTGCCCAGATAGGCTCTGAAGTAGCTCGGAGCGGGTTTTGGGCAAGGGTTTCTGAGGCTTCTTGCCTTGTTTTTGGAGACGGCCTGAAGTATATGCCAAATCGAAGCTGGGCTTGGGCTGGGGTGGTTTTGGTCATGCTCTTTGTTCAGCTGTTGCGGTTCGGACAAATTTTCTGGGGATCCGGCGGATTGGGTCTTGGCACCCGCCAGGTGCTGGATGGAGTCGAGGTCTGACGCGCCGGAAAAGCGCCTTTGCTGGCAGCTGAATTCGGCATGGGTAAAATTTGGGTAAACCGGGAAACCAAAGGGTGAATAGTTCTTCAAACATGCGGGGGGTTGGCCTCATGATCGGCTTACATGAAACGGGGGAGCCCCCAGCTTTCCCTTACAAGAACGGGGGCCGAGTCAACTCGCATGCCAAAAGAGGTAGATTGCAGGCGACAGATCACAAACATTCAACATACTCTAGGAAGTTTTTCCATCCTTTTCGGGCCCTTTGTCCCAAACAAGTCGAGGGGGTCCCTTTAGATTTTGTGAGTCCAAAGGGATTCCATTGTTTTCAATTCGGTTTCTCAAAATTACGGAGCTCGGGTTCTAAGCAACCTTTAGCTAGGTCCCCCTAGTAGTGCCCTTTTACCCTTTTTTGGGGAGGGTTCCCCTACTAAAATAGACTACAGGAAAAACAAAAACGGGTCCCCTTGTTCTAACCTCTCTACTGGAGGACCTAGTGTCGTTCATGAACCTTAAACTTTTTGGGAATGGTTACAAAGTTTGGACTTTTGTGGGCTCAGCAAGTCACTAAGTGAGCTGTAGTCTTTGGTTCCATTTCCCATGAAGGCGAGTCACGCGGACCGAGCGCCTTAGCGCCTTTCCAGGAGCTCAAGGCGGAGGGCCTGCACTGCGTCGACCTGGAGGCGGGGTGCTTCGGCAGATCCCGGGCGACCGGGGATCAAACCCCGGGCAACCGATGCAGTTGGGTGCCGCATCTTTTTTCAGTCCGAAGGATGGTTTTCAAGGGAAGCACAAAGGACAACTCTTCTTTTCTTTTTTTTGGGGGGGGTGCCCTAAAAAAATGAGACACCCGTTTAGGGAATCCACCAGTCTTGTCCCCGATGGCGACAGTTCCGGTTCAGGTTCGAGGCTTCGAGGCCTCGAAACTGGGGTTGATCTATATATGATCTATATTGCCCGAACACTTCGCAGTTTTGTGTTGGTTGTTTGCCCACTTCCAATGGACGATTTGGACAAGAATTGGTCGGCCGGTGCTTCCCGCCGATGTCTCCTTTGCTGTTTTCTGCCTGCAACAAGCAACAAAGGACGCGGAAACACAACACAGGGTCGAGCAAGATTGGTTGTACTACCAGGCCAGGAAACTTTCAAGATGCTTATGTTGAGGTCTTTTTTCTGGCCCACCAAACTATCACGCATTCCCCAACACGGGTACTTTTCCACATAGATTTCACCTGGGTTTCTGGGAGATCCATGTGACTGACCATATGATTGGTGTACTGTTGGTTCGAGGAAGTACAAGCCCATCCAGGTCTCCCACACAAACCAATGTTCCTGCGCCATTTCTGAGGACGCGTTCATAGTTTTGTCCGTGGCACTGAATTTCACTCAAAGAAAACAGCTCACCTACTGATCCTGGGAGTTCCGAACTTATTTTGTATAGAGTACACATGCACCAGACAGGCAGATGAGGACAGGCAGATGAGCAAATTAAAGTATATTTTGCTCATCTGCCTGTTTGGTCCATTAAATGTAGAACTCCATATGGACCAGAAGGGGAGCATCTTGTTCGTTTTGGTCCCCAGAGTACGGCTGCCAAGGACAGGGGTCGTTTCCCTTTAGCCCACCACTTAGGGGGTGACTTTGACCATGGTAAAATAATGTTGCCAGAAGGAACAAAAGAAGCAGCTGAGCAAAATAAATGCAGAACTCCATATGGACATGGACAGAACCGGATCATTTTGTTTGTTTTGGTCCCCAGTTTGAAACGGTTTCCAAGGGAACGAACGACCGGTTGCCACCGTTTGCCACCGGTTGCCGAGCGGTTGGTCTCAGATGCTCCGGGGCTTTCTGCGGCAGATCCTGGAGCAGCGAAGCAAGGCACGTCGCGTGCGTCGCCCGCGGCCGGCCGCGCGGAGGGTTTTTCGGGGTAAAACATTCAGCTCGGGGACACAGTAATGTCTTGGCCTCGGTTCCCTTTTGGTAAGGAAATTATCTCTTTTAGTTTTTGTTTTTTGTTTTTTTGATTGGTAGGGTTTCTCCGGATGAATCCTATATTGACGTTAATCCGGCTTTCTAAGGTGCCCAAAAGGAAGGAAACAGGAGTTGGGAACTATGTCAGTTTGATCGATGGAATTTGAGTCATGGGGAAGCAGAGGCCCTCCATTCCATACCAAGCAGGGTCCAGAAAGACGCTTGGATGGGTTGCTTGCAATACAAGGTGGTCTCGTTCCCTTTGGTTTCCTTTCAAGCAAATTTCTACCCTTGAGTCTTGGGAGGAACCTTGATTTGTTCAGCCTCGTTCAGTAGGCGACAAGCAGGACCATGACGAGTTTTCACTTATAACATTGGGCATAGGGGCGTGGCCATGACAGCTAATACTAGGGAATTGCTAGGGAACTGCTAGGGAACTGCTAGGGGAAGGTATACCCTCTGAGAATTCTCATTATTTCCTCTACAGTCCCCAGCGGATGTCAAGGGAATATTAGGGGAATATGTTGACCCTCCAAGTACCCTTGAGGGAGAGGACCTCCGTTTCCGGATTGGGGGGCGCGACCCTGAAGACTAAAACTCAGTCGAACCAAACGGGTCCAGGCATGGCGGTCCTGCTTCTTGTGGGTGTCCTTCGATTTTTTCGTTTTTTGGTCTAGAAACAGGTTCCCCGGTTTTACGAACCCACTTTTGGTCCTCTTTAAGCTTCAGCCACGACATGTTCACGTTGTGCTTGGTGACATAGGTTGCCAGTGGATGGGGGGCCAGGAAGGAGGAACCCGGATTGCTAATTGGCTCCTGAGTTGTCTTTGGACCTTTCAAGCACAAGAGAACTGCCACATCGACCTTTGAATGAGGAATTCTCGGCATTCGCCTTCGCTCACTGGCTATTTTGATAAGATAGGGGCGCCCGCTGAAGCGCCAACAAAGCACTCCACCAGGTGCGTTTTATCTGTTGGTACCCTGGTGCACCTGAGATATGGCCTATAACCGCCGGGTGTATCCTCGATGGTTGACTTCGATGTGCTACACATCGCAAGTGGTTTCCCGATTTGGGGAGACCTTCAAACCCTCAGACCCTCAAAATCTCAGACCCTCAAACCCTCAGACTCTCAACCACACAAGGCTGCATCGGTTCGGTTTCCCTATTCACGCGAGATCTGATATTGCGATAATGGGATACAAGAAGCGCCCCAAACTGAGGCGTGGGACAGCTGCGTGGCAGATGCCTGCAAGAAGCTGGCGCGGCGCCCGGCGAAAAAAACTCTCTTTCACGTCTTGCGACGTTTTTTCAGCAGTCAAAGCGACCCCAATGGCTCAGCGAGTTTGAATCCAGCAAACCCAGCAACAGCGTGGGGCTTGCAGCTTCAAGGCGACTGGAAAACCGAGGGTCGCAAAACGGAGGCTCCTCTAGTTCTAAAGTGCTTTTTGACAACTTCCAGCGTGAGGTTGGCCAAGTGGCATGCGTTTTCCTTGCAAAAAAAGGCGTCAGTGTGTCACTCAGTCTTTGTGGGGCTGCCCGCAGGGATGTCAAGTGGTCCAACAGCACGTGGAACTATCAGCTTCACATGTGGGCTTGTTTTGTTTTGATGGCACCCTCTCTGGGACTGCTTGAAGGGGCAATCACAAGTAGGGGTTAGCCCGTTTGGAGACAAAATTAACGTTATCCCGTTGGCAACTAACCCCCCCCCCCTGAGGAATTTCAACCATGTGTTTGAGACGCTTAAGTTGAAATCTCGGGGAAACAAGGCTTCGCTCGGAAATCCGTGAACAATCCTCCTAGAAACGCTCCGTCCCTTTGAGTCACATCTTGGGTCCAAAAGACTTCCTTAGCCTGAAATGGGCGGCATCAATTTTCACCTTTGGGGCCCCCGTGCCAGCCCGGCCTTTGCCTCGCAGCCTTTCTCGCGCCGTTCGCCCAAAGTGGCGAACAGCAGACTTTCAAGTTTCTAGACTCTGCAAATGGAAGGCGTGGGAACGAGCTGATATGGCAGCTTGCTTCCCATGAGTTACTTCACCCAATATCAGCACCCTGTGGCAAGAAGCGATATGCGGACCATAGTGCAATGACGCCCTGGGTGGTGGCCTAGGTCATCGTTTTGGGGGTAGGTGCGCGGGCATCAGCGGCTGGCATCTCTGTGGGGGGTAACATCCTCCTGAAACTGTTGTCAATAAGTTATCTCTTTAGCTAATGTTAACCCCGGGTTGATTCACAGAAAGCGTCACCCTTTCAGTGGGGGTTCACATTTGGAGGGGAACACCCCCCCATGTATTAGACCAGTTTGTTCGGGTCAACATTAAGCTGACAGCTTCTTTTCATCGGACATAGAAGCCATCCCAAAACGGGGGTGGACACCATTCATGATGCTTGAAGGGTAACATCAAAACGATTGGCATTCGACACTTACCATCCAAAAACAACAGTTGACACCATCATCCATGATGCATGAGGGGAGCGTCCCCACAACGAATTTACCTCCTTGGACAATCCAGTGCCTTGAAGCAGCTACCTCTTTCCTTTTGCCCTACCTTCAGAAAGCACCACCTAAATCACTTAGCAAAAGCCCCAGAGCTACAGCAGAGCAAGCTAGGTGCTAAGTGGCCACAATTCCTCCTTTCAGGCAAGCCCAAAACAAGCTGAGTGGTTTTCGCCCCCTTCACCGGCCTTTGCTCCGAGCAGCGCATGTCGGGCAGCCGGCGCCTCATCGAGAGCGGCGCGGAGTTCCAGCAGCTTGCGGAGCATCTGCGTCGCACCGGGGCAGCGCCGTCGCGGGAGCGCCTCAAAAGCGAGGCCCGGGAGGTGAGGAAGGCGCGGACAGGGGACGATGGGAATTGGCAAGCCTCATGGGCTAGGTGCCCCAGACCTATAGTTGGTGGGTTGGATTGCTGAATCGAACTTTTGGTGCTTGTGGGGCAATGGAAAACCATTCCGAAACCACCCAACCGCCAATCCAGACCGCCAACTAGGGTGCAGACGTGAACTTAAGAACACAACACGGGTGCATCTTATGTAGGGTAGTTACCCTTTGGTGGTTGCAAAAGGCCACCAAAAGGAAGCCAACCATGTGGGAACTGGAACGCGTGGCATCGAATCTTCAATGAGATTCAGTCGGGATATCCGGCACCTCTATGGTCATTTGGAAGGGACATGGGGTACTCACTGGATTCAAAACCTAGGCGAATCTTTCAATTCTGCTGTGAACAACAACCTGCAGGGGAAGATCGGTCGGGCGGAGAGTGTGGAAACTTGGAGACTCTTCCGGGTGGAGACGTGTTTTGGGGGATAGGCTTTGCCAGGTTGGCAACTCCTTCTTTCCAGCAAGACTCCAGGAAAACCATGATGGTGGGAAAGAACAATGGTTGAACAGAATGGACATGGAATTCGCCCCTTGAAAAGGAGGTTGTTCAAGTACTTACTTCAACTTTCTCTTGTCAGCCCACCCCTTTCCATTCTCAGGTTCTTTTCCCTTAACTCTAGGGGTTGATTCCTCATTCTTTTCAACCATCGTTCTTTTCAAAAACCAGCTGTTTCCCCGGGTTTTTGATGGTTTCCTGAAAAGAAGGATCCCTGGAAAGAATGGAAATGGAAGGTACCCCCAGAATAACCCCAGTTTTTCTCCCCCCTGGTGAGGCCTTGCGCCTGGTGCGCGCAGAGCGGCTGCTGCTGCCGCGGCTGGAGCAAAGCTTCCGAGGGGCCCCTCGTGCGGGGGAGGTGGGCTGGAGCGCAGTGAGTCATGGGGGCTTGGGGGGGAGGAGGGAGTCGAAATAAGCACCTAGGCCGAAATGGCTGTGGGTCAAAACCCTGTACCCCTGCAGAACATCAAAATAGGTGGCAAATGGATGTTCAGCCACCCCAAAATGGGGCCATAGGTTATGCCCCATGACCAAACAAGCTACTTGGGCTCCCGGCACCATGAGTAAGCCAGGGCTGGCGAACTCTCTTGCACATGAGATCATCGCCGTGTTTTTTGGCGAGAGGTAAGCGAAGCCTCGAAAGAAAAGCCAAACGAGGCGTGTGCGCACCAATTGAGGCTTTAGGAAATCGAAGTCAAGTGGATGTGGTTTGAGCCAACGAAACCCGTTGGCTCGGTCCACGGACCTTTGTCCAGTTCTTTGGGGCAGATTGGTTTGTTTTGTGTGCTAGTGAAGCTTCGGGAAGTCAAGCTAGCAATCGAAGCAACCAACCAATCAGCTACCCAAACCTCCCATCTCGAAGGATCCTCTATTTGGAGACAGCCAATTGACCTCAAGCAAGAACCAGCCCCATGGTTTTTTCAATTTACATATCTGTGTCAAAAACCACATTCATAGGGAATCTTTTGGTATCGCAGAAAATGGGGCTCCCACGGCCATAGCTATGTAGGCCTTAACAACCACTTTGCCTCAAATGCAGGAAATCAGGTCAAGAAATCGTGGCTTTCTGAGTTTCCCTTGATGTTTTTCCAGTAGTTTCCATGGTGTCCATTGTTCCGCACGTTTTGCCTGGTCTTTCTACCCCCTAGGCTCTCCCCTCCAAAAGGAAGTCAGCAAAGAAGGTGGAGAAGCCGGGGAATTCCAGCCCTTTTCCAAGGAAGCGGCATGCAAGGGAGGGAAACTGCTTTTTGTGGGTTCTCTCATTGAGAGAAACCATAGAACGTAAACCTCTTGACTCTTCGCATGGTTCATAACCCCCGGGTCGATGAATAGGTGTGTGCCATGTTAGAGGGAGAATACTCCTCCAATGAACCTGACAGGCTGGTTCATCCGGTCCGGGGTCAGCTGAGGTCTCTTGGAACCTCCGCCCAGTTCCATTATAATAGGCACGGTTCCATCTCAAACCTCATGTGTCGGTGGTTGTTAGCATCCCTGCGTTTTTAGGTTTCGCGCCCACGATGGCATCGTGGTGAGTCGCTACAGCACGTATGCCTCTGACTGGGCCAGGGCTCCCCACTACACCCGAGTGCAAGTAGAACGACTTGCAAAAAGGGGCTGTCCGAGACGGCAGTTTCGAAACCTACTAAGAAGCTAGCCAGGGCCCGACAGCAAGCCCCAAAGCCAACAACAGTTTCGAGCGCCACGCAGAAGACTTGCCAGGCCACAAGCGCAGGGGCCGAAAAAGAACCGAAAATGCGGTTCGGAAAGTGCGGCTTTTGAAATCCAGGAGGCACCCCCAGCCAAAGTCAATGCAATGGAACCTTCGGTGTCCCAGGCGCCGCCGCCTTCATTTCGTTGCCCGGAGAACTGACTGAACACCCATGTTACCCTTCTCCAGGTCCCAGGGTGAACGAGATACTGCTGAGTTGAAGGGCTCCGTGCGTCATCGTTTTGGTCACTCCTGTTTTCTTCAGGCTTTCCAACTTTCACAGCCCCCTTTTTTAGGGTACCTACTTCTAGGGGTACCGTGCTATTAAAAAGATGGTAGGGTCTTCAACCAGCCCCACAACGCCCAACTCGATCGCGCAAATTTCGAGGAAAGGCGGCGCCTGGCGCCGCTCGGCGGTTTGCAGTCGGAGGCGCCCTGGAACTGCGTGGCGCTGCGCCCCGAGGATCGACCGGTTGGACCGGCTGGACCAGTTGGAGTTTGGGGGGGCCGAGCTATGCATGATCATCGTTTTTGAAGGTTCAACAGATGTCGGTAGAAACCTCAAGCGTCGGGCTTCTCTTTTTGTAGAAACGGCCAAAAGTGCACAAGTCCCACACAAATGAAACGCGACTTAAAGATGCTAGCAAGCGAACCTTTGCTAGCGGGTGCACTTTGGCCATGTTTCCAGGCGTTGAGCGTGTTGAAGTGAACAAGTGTTCGCTGGTTGCTCAGACATGTTGCCTACTCCAAGAGGTTGGAAAGGTGACAGGACAAAGCTGCTGCTTTGAGCGGTCAGTGTAGGAAAGGTTGGAAGGCGATAACACGCGTGGGTCCAGGAAAAATGACCCACTTTCCATAGACCATGTCTGGCTTTTTCGAAGGCCGGCGTGCTTCGGTCTAGTTTTGAGGCGCCGTGCTACGTGCGAGGAAGCTGAACCGATGAACATTGCGGAAGTCCTACACAAGCCGACGCATTTGTTCAGATCAACGAACGAAGCGCGGCAAATTCGTTTCTTCGCTCGCACAATAGCCCTCTGTGTTTCAACCGCGGATCTTGCAAATTGTTCAAGCCAACGTTTCCCAAAAACATCCTCTGCAGACCGAAATAAAGGAAACAGGCTGTCTCCGTGCATTGCCCAGTTTGTGCACAAATTCATTTAGTTTTCAAGCAGGTATGTGGCCAAGATACTTGAAACTAACGTATGTTTTCGGTTCTCCATGACCCTTTTTACGCAACCCAAATGGTCTTTTGAGGGATGTTGAAAGGGAAACCACAACTAGTTGGCCGTGTGCTACCCAACCTCGCAAGAAAAGTGAACTTGTACATAGGAATCCCACCCAAAACATGTGCACCAATACTGTGATGGAGGATTCCCCGCACCAGTCATTACATGGCAATGGGGATCAACGTTAAAGGCATGGAGTTTCCATGACACTACAAACAGCCGAATAATTTGAGGGGCTAGAAACTGAGGCTTGATCTGCCCGGGTTCCGTTTGGCCGCCATTCTGTTACTGTAGAGACAATGGGAAAGCGAACGCTTCGGTGGATTCGGATGGCCAAGATTCCCTTTAACCCACTATGAGTCATACAGGTGTTTGTTCTTAGTTACATGGTCCCAGGCTTGGAACAAACATCAAGACTACCATCTCGTGTTTTTGTCTGTTTTCGCACATTTGTCCTGCTGCTTGTTCGTTGGAGCCCCCGTTGGTTCTCCTGCCGTTTCCGCCTTGGTTCGGCTCGGATTTGCCCGCTGAGTTCGATTGGGCGACAACCAGGTTCACCGGCCCAAGGCAGCAACTTTCTGCACTCGTAGAACTCTGCAACTCTAGGATGTAGCCTCGCCTTGCCAAGCGCCTTGCGCAGGAAAAGCTGTGTCAGTCGTATCTTCGGTGTTCGAACAAAGACTGTTGCAACAGCAGCAAATTCCCACCATCCATCCCTTCACAAGGCGACGAATCTGTGCGAGTGGCCAACGCACATGGGTTGTGTGCAAAAGGGATCACCATTGCCTGTTCTCTTCGAGATGCCAAGCTCACCAGCACATGCCCAAGAACCAATTAAAACTGTCGTCTTTGAAGCGGCAGCGAAGGAGCGCGCCATATTGTTGTTGTGTCGATGGGCATGCAGCGAACTGTTTTTCGGCTTGCCTGTGAAAGCAAGCGTCGGACGGCTTGCCTGAGCACCGCAAGCCCATGTTCGTGCTGAGCGGCGCAGCGCAAAAGTTGGCTGACGGGTATGTTCACCAGTTGGTTCTCAAGAAGGCAGTCCCTCATGCGCCGGGCATCCTTATGCAAACCATCCGGAAAGCACTGTTCAGCAAGATCAGCTAGCGCGCGGTGTTTGCCACTCATGAAAAAGTCTAGTATAACGAATTTGAAAAGCCGGAGCTCGAGTTGCGCGCACCTTGTGTGTCTTCAGCGTTGTCTGTGTAGAACAAATGCATTCTCTGCAGCCCTTGCGCACAGAGGAAGCCAAAGTAGAAGCCAACGATTGTGTGTGAGACACAAATAGCACTGCTGGATCGTCATGCCTTCATGTAAAGTGGAGAAGATGATGGCATCCTGCCAAGCCCTCTTTTCGCACACAACAAAGTCACAAACAGGCCAATAGGCCAGTAGGAGCGGCGCCCAAAGGTCCTTTCCAGAGCATCCGCAAGCCATGTCGTGCAACGTAGCTGAAGTTGGAAGATTGCCTCAACTTGTCCAGGAAAAACTTCTGTCACAAGGGGTCGGGCTCACGAAGCTCCCACCGTTGTGGAACACTGCGCGGTTCGCTGCTTGGAACGAACTTGCCATCAAAATGCATCCAGCGTAGAGCGAAATTGAACAAGGGCCCTTTGCTGAACATCATCCTGGGCCAAGCTGGATCGTCGGATAGTTGATGTGGAGCCTCGTTTTTTGCGGCTCGGTGCCAACAGCAGGCTACTGATGTGTTGTGACTTGCTGCGTGGCCCGCCCAGGCGCTGAAGGCTGCCAAAGCGCCTGCTGAGAGGCAGGGTTTGTTCGAGCGTTCAAGGTCTGACGGAAGTCTACGGCAGACCGTCTTTGTGTGTTGACGTGTTTTGATAGCTGGTGCTGTGCGCAGACAGGAGTCTCTCGCGCCCGCCTCCAATTTTGAATGAACAAGAACTACCCATTCCGGAGCTTAGGTTTCTCGACATAAAGGGCTACCCTGCGTCCACCGTGCGAAGGACTGTTTTTGGTTGCCACGGCTTGAGCCGTGATAAGGGTGGCTTATTTTCGGTACCCCTTGAACAAACCCTCGCATGCTCGGTAAGGAAAGAACCCAGATTCCGGCATGAAGAGTTGTAGCAGACCACGTTGACGGGTTTAGTGAGAGAGAGGCTCGGCACAGAGGTGGAGATTGCATCATGCTCGCTGCCAGGCCACCAGCTTCCAGCACGCGCCTTTGCCCAACGCCAAAGTATGTCCCTGTTCTCACTTGAGCGGACGTTCCGTAGTGCTGGAGCTACTGAGCATGCGTGCGCCCATGTGTGATCTGCGGGCAAATGCGATAACTGAGGAACAGACGCGAGCCAAAAACGTGGGAATGTGCGTGAGTTCAGTAATCAGTTTGTCCGCGCGTGCGCAAACTAGCTCGGTTGCGACGGCTGGTGTTGAGCCGGCTCGAGCGGGCGGAGCCGGGACAATATTGGCAGGCGCCGCAATAGCAGCATTTTCGTAAGGTGAGCGCAGACTACACAGACAGACAGACAGGTGAAGGTAAAGAGATAAGACAGGTTTCGTGGGCTGAAGAGAAGCTAGATAGGCACACAAATAGAGATAGATAGATAGATAGGGTAGGATAGGGTAGAGCGGACAGATAAGTAGATGGATAGAAAGAAGGTTAGGACAGGAAATAGTTGAGATAGATAAGATGGATTGGACGGATGGATGGTGGGTGGGTGGAATGATGGATGGATAGTTAGGTTACACAGACACATAGATAAGTTGGAGAAGGATTGAAGGCAGAGAACTATGAAGAAGAAAAAGGGAAAGAAACAGAAGAGAAAGGAAAGAACAGTAGCGAGAATGAGAGAGAGAGAGAGAGAGAGAGAGAGAGAGAGAGGGAGAGAGAGAGAGAGAGAGAGAGAGAGAGAGAGAGAGAGAGAGAGAGAGGAGAGAGGGAGAGAGAGAGAGAGAGAGAGAGAGAGAGAGAGGGAGGGAGGGAGGGAGAGAGAGAGAGACAGCTAGAGGGAGAGAGGAAGAGAGACAGAAAGAAAAGGAAGAAAGAAAGCAAAGAAAGGCAGAAGAAAGAAAGAACGAAAGAAAGAAAAGAGCGAAATAAAAAGGGAAAAATACAGCAAGAAAGCAATAAGTGAAGAAAGCAAGAAGGAAAGAAAACAAGAAAGCGAGAAAGCAAGCAAGCAAGGAAGTAAGAAAGCAAGAAAGCAAGGGCAGAAAGACAGAAAGAAAGCAAAGAACAAAGAGGGCGAAAATAGAGAGAAGGAGAAAGAGAAAGAGACAGAAACAGAGACAGAGAAGGAGAAAGAAACACAAAGAGAAAGAGAAAGAGAGAGGGAGAGAAAGAGCAAGAGCAGGGAGAGAAGGAGAGAAATAAAGAGAAAGAGAACGAGATCAGAGTCACACCGTTGTTTGTTCTTAGTTACATTGTCCCAGGCTTGGATTCTTCTTCAATCAAAAATCAAAACAGGCGCTCTCAAACGAGCATCCCCCGTTTCTGTTTATTCGCTGGTTTCCTGCTGCTTGTTCGTACCCGCCCCCCGTGGTTCTTTCTCGTTTCTGGTGCCGTTTCGCTTGGCCCTGGCTCTCGGCTTGGGGGTGAGAGCGCCCGAGTTCGTTTGCTCGAAGGAGGGCTCCGACGAGCTGGGCCTGGAGCTGCTGCTGTACCACGGCTGCCGCGCCCGGAGCCTCGAAGGCGCGGCGCGGCAAGGCGTTGGGAGGTGTCAGGACGCGGGGAAAGGTGAGTGGGTTGGACATAGTGGCTCTTGGATTTGGAGTGGTTTGCAGTGGTTTGTATTTGGGGAATTGGATAGTTTGTTGGATGGACTTGGGTGGACTGGTGGTTTGGAACAGGGGATTTGAAGCCCTGGTTCTTGTAGAACGTGGGGAGTTTGGTTAGACATCGATGGGCTCCGCTGGAATAGAAATCGGGTTTGTGGAACATTTACTCGGGAAACTGGTCTATGGTTTACCAATGAGGGCAACTATTTTTGTGTTAACTCGTGGCCCACGTGTTGCAATTCCCGCCCGGGAGGGGGAGGGAATCAAATTACAATCAAGTACCAAGGGGGTTCAACTCAAACAGCCTCGGAAATCTCTAAAACCCATTGATTGGGCACAAGGTCTGTCCAAAAAACATTCAGCAATCAAACAAAAAAGGTTGCGCCCTTTCCAAAATCCCATGGCCACTGAGGGAAGGAAGGGAAAGCCTTGGGCCCTTAAGCTCAGATTCAACCCATTGATCAGAGGTGTGTCGGTTCCTTCCTACCCTAGTCTGTTGAACTTGTTGCCAATTTGGTTTTCCATCATTCCCCCTTCTGCAAAAAGTTGCATTTTTTTGCAGAGTGGTTAAGTCTGGTCAAGCAATGGGGGCCGCCGTTTTGAACCTGGTTGGTGATGGCTGCCTTTTGGTCAATTTGGTGCCAAAGGACTGCCCGAGTTTTCAAGCCGCCGCTTTGTTGCCAGACATCGGAGAGCAATCGAACCCGGGCCTCCGTCAGTTTCCTTCGTTGGCAATTTTCAACTTCTCGGTTCAAACCAAACTAACGCCAAACCCCAACCAAGTTTACAAGCCAAACGCAATCGCACTGAGCCAAAGCCAAAGCCAAGCCACCCGAGCTGCTTTTGTTTCTTTTCCCAGAGGCATCCTGCGGTCCGGCTTCGACGCCGCCTTTGCCGGGGAGCGCGGGGGCCGGTTCTTCGGGCCAGGCGCAAGCACGCGAACCCGCGCCGCGAATGCGGGACTCGTGCGGCGCTGCGAGCGGTTTGCCTTCGTCCGGCAGAAAGTCATAAGTCGAAGGTGTCTGTTTTTGCACGTTTTTGTTGTTTAAAGCGGCGTGGAACTCTTCTTCTGAAAAACCAAGGTCAACAACTGTTGGAACATGAAGTCCGCTCTGTCAAAAAGCAAGATTGACTCGTTTGCAGGCCTGCCTTAGGTTCTGCTTTGGTTTCTAGGATTTGTGGCCTTTTTGGCGTTGAGGGGGGATTCGATGGACATTATTTTCAGGGTTCCCTTATTTAGAGACCCAGGAAGTCCTTAGGAGGCCCACATGTTGGGTTCTATCTTTCTTTAAAGGGGAGTAGTTGCTTCTTCGTTTTAACGGCCCAACTGATTTCCCGTTGGTGGCACCTTCGGCAAATGGCCTCCGAGCTTGGGATGTCTTCTGTGCAGATACCCACCCAGTGCCGTGTGTGTCGAGAACTCAGAGGAAAAAAGTTGGTGCCTGCAATCTCGGCATAGGCCTGACTTTCTCAAAGTCCAGTCTACGGCCAAACGGGGCTGGCGGGCTGGGATTCCACTGGTGGCCGTCGGCCGTCGTCCATGTCGAGTCTCAAACGGGGCCCGGTTTCGGTTTCCGCCTTGCGCAGGCATCTACTTCAGTGACGTCGCTGCCAAAGCGCGGACCCTCGGGTTGGAGCGATTTGTGGCGGAGTGTTCAACCTGTGGGTGGCTCGTCTCCTTTGGAGTTGGTGCCCTTTTTTGTGGTTTCAAAGGGAATTCAGAAGGAAAACCACAATTTTGGAAAGTTCTCCAAAACAAGACACCCCCCCATATATAGATCTTCGCAATGTTTTGAGATGCGCGGCCAAAGGTAGATGGTAGGAGCTAAACACATGCATTGTCCGACTCAAAAGGCTGATGTACTTGAAGGGATTCATTGTTTGGAGTTTGCTAGACCACCAGTGAAATCCAGTCATGCCCTGCACACATGTGAGCACCTGTGAATATGGTGATCGCAACATGGAGGCTCTAAGCCATAGCAGGAAAAGACTTCTGCGCTACCGCTTTGCATGGTAGCGGAGCCAGGTAGGTCCCTCCTGCTACTGGGCCTATTAGCACAGAGCTCGGTCGTGGGCCAGAGCTGGACACAGGAGGCTGCGGTGGAGGTGGAAGAAGGTGAAAGGACGGCAGACGAAAGCCAGCTGTCCCGGAGCCGGTGGAAGAGAGATTGAAGACAAGGTGGAGATCCAGGAGAAGTACGTGAACATTGACTCGTACTTGTACATCAAGTTTGCGGTGAAGTTTGCGCTGCAAAGAAGTGTTGTGTGCATTGAGGAGCTCTTCTGGGCAATGGCGAACCAGTTGGAGCAGATCAGAGATGTCCTGGCAGATTTGGTGCGAGGACAAGCGAATGCACAATGGAGCAGGCATGTGAAGCAGCCAGAAGTCTTCAAGCCTGACACAAGAGAGCAAGAACTCAAGCAGTGGAGTGATTGGAGGTTCACCTTGGAGAACTACGTGAAGAGCGTAGATGTGATGATGCACACGGAGATGAACATCATCTCGAACAACGCTGAGGCCGAGATTGAGTGGAGCGAGTTGAATGAAGAAAGAAAGGAGATTGAGGTTGTTTGGACTCCTTGCATCGTTGCTGAGGAACCGCCCGCTCAAGTTGATCAGGTACATGCCCCATGAGAATGGGTACGAGGCCTGGAGAATCCTGATTGTGGACATTCAGCCCAGCACTAGGCAGAGGTCATTGGCTCTGATGACCCAACTCTCGAGGGTGAGCTTTGCACCCAACAGGAGCATCAGTGAGCAGCTTCCAGCCTATGAAGCCCTGATCCAGGAGTATGAGAGAATCAGCAGTCAAGGCTATCCAGATGACTTGAAGGTGACGGCCATCTTGGCCGCATGCCCTGAAGCCATGAGGACCCAGTTGCAGATGATGGTGGACGATAACACGACCTATGAGACTCTCAAGGGTCGCATCATCCACTATGAGTCCATCACGACGAAGTGGACAGGAGAAGGTGGACTGCTCATGCCTAAGACGCAGGAAGGTCCACAAGACATGGATGTGGGCTACCTTGGCAGCCACCAGAAGGGAAAGAAAGGTAAAGGCAAAGATGGAACAGGAAAGAAGGGCAAAGGCAAGAAGGGCAACCCGCAGTACTATGAGTACCAGCAGAAAGGAAAAGGAAAAGGCAAGAATGGAGGATGGAAAGGAAAAGCCAAAGGAGACAAAGGAGGAAAAGCAAAAGGAGGCAAAGGTGAATGCTGGAACTGTGGGAAGACAGGTCATCAAGCAAAAGATTGCTGGAGCAAGAACGTCAATAGGCTGGAAGAGGAGTCGCAAGCAGGTTCGACAGCGAACGCGAGCTCTATGGCATCGTCAAGCAGTGCAAGTGCTTCTGGAGCAGCCACAGCGAATGTGAGAATGATCAGGATGTTCACACCCCCGCATATGAACGAGACTCGCATCTTCCATCTCACAGCTGGAGATGATGATGAGTTCATGCAGAGCATCATGGAGGTCGATGAGAGCCAGATCTATATGGTCGAGGCAGATTAGGAGCAGTTTCATGAGTGCATGGAACCGGTGGTCGAGGATGTTGGAGCAGCCAGCATCGTGGCCTTGGACCTTCAGGAGCCTGAAGCAGAGATGAGTGGTGAGTTGATCGCCCCTGAGGAGACAGAATCAGATGAGATTGACTTGGAAGCTGAGTTTCCGGGTCATGTGTTTGAAGGAGAGGAAGCAAGTGGAGAAGTCAATGAGAAGGCGACAGAAGTAAGTGTCGGCACGGTGAGGAAGGAGCCGGCAAGACGTGTCTTCATGACGATCGACTCATAACCGACGTGTCTGTGTTGCCTGAGGAGTTCAAATCGCTTGGGCAAGAAGACAGAGGAGGACCAGAGATCATCATGACGGATGCCCATGCAAGGTGGCATCATCAGCCACAGTGGAAAAAGGAGGGTGACTGTTGTGTTGAGAGACAACGAGCCGTTGGACGTCGTTGAGACGTTCATCATTGGCAAGGTGAAGCACCCCATTCTTTGCTGTGGAAGGTTGCTGAAGAAAGGCTGGGAAGTGAGGTCTGGAGCAAGTGGGCCATGCCTGAAACACAATGAAGTTGTGGTTCCGTTGGACATGGGTCGCAACAGCTTGCAAGTTGAGGCTGAGATCAAAGCAGTCTGCATGGAGCTTGATGAGGAGGTGAGTGGCGAAGTCAACGTGTGCGTGTTGGAAGAATTCCTCAGTGCAGGTTTCCAGAAGCTGGAAAGCACACCAGGCTGGCATCTCCTGCCTAATGGGTTGGCGGCCTATTCAGATTCGGTTGCCACTCAGTTCCTTGACCCGACCAACCACTTCAACTGGAAGTCGAGGTTGACACTTATGAAGACTGGAGGAGGAAGATGGCAGCAGATAGAGAATGTGGAGGACTTCACCACGTTAGGAAACCTTGCATTCAGGAGGTTGGTGCCAAACTCAGACCCCCAGAGGACCATCACAATCCTGGCACCTGCGAAGATCAAAGACTACTTCGAACCAGACTCAGAAGCACCAATTGCCCCATTTCCAGCGACACATCGAGCGCTGGACGCAGATGAGCTGGAGTGGTCAGATGATGAAGTTGGCATTGGAGAGGAAGCTGTTCGGCATGAAGCAGATCCCGCAGAGGTTGAGGATGAGAAAGGCCAGAAGAGAGAAGAGGAGCCAAGAGACGTGGTCGTTGAGGAGCAAAGAGATGAGGTGAAGATTGATGAGGAGAAGTATAGCTTGGAGAGCAGCATGAGAGAGTTGAAACAAGCATGTGGGCTTGCTACTTCAGGTACCAAAGCAAAGATGTTGAGAAGGCTGGAAAACTTCCGAGCCGACTTGGAGACCAAGATGCAGGCTGACCTGGCAAGGAAGCTTTATCGAGAGCGAGAGTGCAATCCGGTGGACCGGACCTTGAGGAGAAAAACAGGCACAACCTGACCCATTGGCCGTTTGCTCCATGGTGCCAGGCCTGCCTGGCGACAAGATCAAGAGAGGAGGCGCACAAGAGAGACTTCAAGAGAGATGAGGAGAGAGGCAAGACTGTGATATCCTTTGACTTTGGCTACACCTTTGTCGATGACGATGGTGTGGAAAAGGGGAGAGACCAGATTGAGGATGCAGACAGTCAGTATGGAACAGCCCTCTATGCAGCAGACCTGTTCACAAAGGCTGTGTTGTGCGTGCCCGTGCTGAGCAAAGGATCAGTGAATTTGAAGTTGATGGTCGAAGAGTTGGTGAGGTTTAGCCTTGAGGTCGCTGGAGGAGATCCCGTGATTTTCCAAGCAGATGGAGAAAGGAGCACGAAGCAGTTGCTACGAGCCATTCAGCACTGCAGAGCGCAACTTGGACTTCGCACGGACATCAGAACCACAGGTAGTGGTCAACACCAGAGCAATGGCCAAGCAGAGAGGACAGTGCAGACAGTGCGGCGCCTAGCAAATTGCTTGAGGCACTACGCAGAAGAGCAGGGACAGATAACTATCCTTGGCTCATCACACCTGTACCCATGGTCATTCAGGCATGCAAGCTGGTTGGTCAACAAGTACAGAGTGCTTGAGCATGAAAAAAAAGGACGAGCCACGAGATTTGCCACGGCATGATGTACAAGGGCAAACTTTGCCTGTTTGGTGAGTCGGTCATGTACAAGAACATGACAGCCTTCAAAGGCGAGCCCGTGTTCGCGAAGGGCATCTGGGTAGGAAAGTCATCATGGACCGACTGCCACATTGTGCTGACCCCGGAAGGTGCAGTGGAATCCAGATCAGTGAGGAGATTGCCAGAGCAGTTCAACAGTTTCGACATGGTTCTTGGCAAAGGCCTTCCCTGGTGCTACAGTGGCACAGGTGTCTTGACCAAGAGAGTTGGCAAGAGGCATCGCATTCCAGGTGAAGTTGAACATGCCACAGAGGAAGAGACGCAGCAGCTGCAACAGCATGAGGAGACGCTTGAGGAGAAAAGAAGGTCAGAGAGGATTGCGAGAGAAGCTGGTGTGGCGGTTGCGCTGGGACTGGCCACTCCTGGTTTGGCAGGCGGTGCAACCACACCAGGTCTGAGTGGTTTGGTCACACCAAGGGTGAGTAAGCGAAAGCTTGAGGACGCAGAAGGAGCAGAGGAGAGGAGAAAGGAGGTTGAAGAGAGGAGAGAAGAAAGCGAGGCAGCAGCGGCAACGTCTCAACAGCCCCGAGAGCGTTGAGGCAAATGCCTCCACCTCCTACTGCACTGATCGCTGGAGGACCAGAGAAGAGAGAGAATGAGGCAGCAGAGGAAGCTGCAAGGCGAAGTAAAGCTGTCAAGATCAGCGAGGAGCAGACGTCATCGTCTTCATCTACCAGGAGGCGATCGGCTGAGGCAGCACAGCTTCAGGATGAAAGCAGCCCCAGCAAGAGAGCAGGCATTGATGAGTGTGATGTCTCGCGCCTACTGGAGATAAGGAGTTGGCTCTGGATGAATATCTTGACGAGCCTATGGAAGAGTGGATGAAGGAACAAGACGATGAAGATGGAGGAGCAGAAGGGAAGCCCCCCAACATCAGCGTTGAGGAGCTTGAGGAGCTAGACAGACAGGCTGAGTTTGAGGAGATCGAGAGATTGAAGAAGATCCCGGTGATCAAGGAGCTGACGACAGAAGAGGAGAATGATTACAGCGAGATCACTACGAGAATGGTGACAACATGGAAGAAGAGGCAAGAGAGAGGAGGGAGGCTGGTTTAGAAGAGCCAGACTTGTGGCGAGGCAATTCAAATGGAGTGTTGAAGCAGACAATGCATTTGCCCCCACGAGTTTGTCAGCGATCCCGAGGATGTTGCTACACATGGCATGCATGAGCAATGGTGAGTTTGAGGTGGCGACGGCAGATGTAAAGGATGCATTCCTTATGGTGCCGCAGCCAGAGGACGAGAAAGTTGCCATAATGTGTGGTGGCAAAAGCTACAAGCTCATGAGGTGTTTGCCGGGCCAGAGAACAGCTGCGAACAGATGGTATGTTCTGTTCAGGGACACAGCGAAGGAATTCGGCTTGGTGGAGGACATCATGCAGCCCACGCTGATGAAGATGGACAAGTTGTACTTGACCCTGCACGTTGATGACTTGTTGATGGTTGGCCGCAGAGCGCTGATAGATGGTTTCATTTCCTTCCTGGAGAGCAAGGGCTGGAAAGTGGAGTTCAGTGGCCCCCTTCAAGGTTGGTGAGACCTTCGAGTACTTGAAGCGAAAGATCACAAGGGTGGATGATGGCTACATCATCAGGGCCAACGAGAAACACATTGAAGAGATTGCGGCAGAGGCAGACATCTTCAAGAAGAAGAGGAAGACCACCCCTGGCAGTGACTTGAGCAGACATGATTGGGGTGATGCATTGGAAGGAAAGGAGTTGACGGCCTTCCGATCAGTTGTTGGCAAGATGCTCTACATTGCCAATGAGAGACCAGACGCCCAGCATACAATTCAGGTTTTGGCATCCAAGATGTCCAGCCCGGTGACCAAGTCATGGTATGACGCATGTCACCTGGCTAGCAATTTGTTCAACACCATGGACTATGGCATTAAGATCTTTGACCCCAAGAAAGGCAAGTCAGTGCTGGACATGAGGAGCATTGAGGATGTGGAGGAGAAGCCGGACCACATGCTGGAGATTGTGACTGACGCTGACTACGCTGGCAATCAAGAGACAAGGAAGTCTACAACAAGCTACCAGATCTACATGGACGGGAACCTCATTGAGGCCAAGGTCCGAGGGCAGCGTTCAATTGCCCTCAGTTCTGGTGAGAGCGAGTACGTGGCGATGGTCAGTGGAAGCAGCAAGGGGATGTTCTTGAGGCACATCTGGGAGTTCCTTTGTGGTGATGTCCCGGACACAGTTTGCAGGACAGACAGCTCGGCAGCGAGAGGAATGGTCGGGCGCATCGGCCAGGGTGCGTCACATTGACGCGTCGCTTCTTTGGTTGCAACAGAGAGCTCAAGAGAAGATGATGAGAGTGACGGCCGTTCCCACAGCGATCAACTGCGCAGATATCGGTACCAAGATCCTCACCAAGGCCCGCAGCCAAGGTCTCATGTACATGATGAACATGGTGGACGGCAGTGGCGAGCGCATTGGTGAAGAGCAGTTCAAGGAGATTGAGAAGAGTATGCTGAATCAGAAAGGTAGCAACACGATGATGGTGGTTACTTTGGCCAATTTGGTCAGGGCAAATGGAGCGCCCAATGAGAAGAAAGGTGAAGACGGCATGAGTGAATGGTGGATGGTTGTCATTGCCATTTTGGCGGTGATTGGAGTCTTGGGCCTAGTCAATTGGACATGGCGCTTCTTCATCCGGGTGATTGTGAATGAGACGAACCAGAAGAAGAAGATTGGCATGCACGCTGAAGATGAGGACAGTGAGAGCGATTTGTGGGCTAGAAAGCCTACTAGGCAGAGGAAGAAACGCAAGATGCCTGAAAAAGATGGTATTGTCAAAGCGTATGCAACAGGCAAGGTGTATCATACGAGTGCGCTTTGTCAGCACTACAAAGGGGGTAAATCATACCCTAAATGTAGCGTGTGTGCAGAGCATGAAGGCAGCATGTTAGACCACCAGTGAAATCCAGTCATGCCCTGCACACATGCGAGCACCTGTGAATATGGTGATCGCAACATGGAGGCTCTAAGCCATAGCAGGAAAAGACCGCTGCGCTACCGCTTTGCAGAGTTCGAAGTTGATCATTCGCACAACTAAAGTCCACTGCTTGTGGGCTTGAACTCGTGATGTCAAAATGGGCCTCCCACCTGTCCTAGATTCACAGCTGTCCATTCCCGCCGGCAGGCACGGGGGAGTGCAGATATTATCTATTTCATTCATCCCCCCTACTTGACGTCCAGGAGTGTTTCCTAAATCCAGCAGCGTTTGCCAATTTGAAGGCCTTAGGGCGCTACCTTTCAATCATTTTGATTCAGGATCAGGTGGAAAAGCCTAATTTGGATTGCCTTAGCAATCCTTCCTCGCGTGCTGAAAATGACAGTGTTACCCTTTTGACCCCTGTTGGGCTCTCAGGTGGAGGCTACCCAGTTAGCCTCAGTCCCCAAAGAACACCAAACGTGTCAAAGAGAGGGTTGCGTCACCATCTGCCCTTCTAGGAGTCGATTCCCCATTCTTTTCAACCATCGTTCTTTCCAAAAACCGGATCCGTTTTTTCTGGGTTTCCGGAGGTTTTCTAGAAAGATCCGGATCCCTGGAAAGCATGAAAATGAAAGGTACCCCTAGAACCCCCTTTTCTTGGTCTCTCACGAACCTTTTGGGAACCAGCTGTTTCCTTCTGGCCTAGGCAGACACCTACGTGGACGCGGTAGAGGGCATGAGGTGTCTGGTGATGGCCCAGGCACGAGCCCCTTTTGGGGTGTGTCGTTTTAAGGTTTGTGAGTGGTTCCTCTTTCTGGTGCTACCTTCCCCATTCTTTCCAGGATCCTTCTTTCTAGAAAACCTCCAGAAATTCAGGGAAACTGCCAGTTTTCGAAAAGAACGATGGTTGGAAAGAATGGAGAATCAACCCTTAGACTTTTGGTGACCCGGGTACCCGCGAAAATAGACAGACGCATGTACCTTGTTGCGGATTCGCATGGAACCCCAACAGGCCGCCGCAAAGGAGTTTTGAAGGAGGCTGCTCTGTTCGCAGGGGAGTGCTTGCGGCGTTCGTGAGCATGGGCTTTCGTGTAGGCTTCCGGTCATTCCTTGTTGGTTTAAACGAGGGAAGCAAACGATAGATGCGTTGAATTGTCGGCTAGCTCAAGCAAACTGAAGCTGCCACAGCAAGGGGAGCCATGGCCGAAGTTTGGCCTGCGATTTATGACAAGATTTGCCTTTGGACCTTTTTGTAACGACCCCCTGCAGGTGTATCCCTCGTCAAGGGGACCCTTGTTGCTCGGGTGTCACTTGCCCCCCCCCCCCCCCACAGCTTTGCACCTCATGAAGGTGATTAGACTGCTTCAGTGGAAGTCCTCCCTCAGACTAGACTTTCAACGAGGCGCATCCAACATGATGGCGTTACATCCCCAATTCGAGGTCCGCCAAAGGGTACCAATCATAGCCCGACTTTGGGACATCGAACCTCTCCCACATAGAACTTCACCGGGTTTCTGGAAGCTTCTTTTTCCCTCCAAAAGGGAGGCTCTCGGGTTTGCACGTTAGTTGATAGGGTGTTTCGGAATCTCCCAGTACAACATTGCCGTTAGTACAAAGAAGAAAAACGTCTTAGACTTCTTCGAAATCGTGTGTGCCAGTTTCGAGGGTACGCCTTGGTGGTTATAAAAGGCAACCAACAGTAGAACCGTTGCGCCATTTTTGTGGGTCCAACCGGAAAGATGCGCCAGTGAGGGGTCCCTTTTTGGGTGGTAACCACCTGAGGGCCTTTCTTAGGTGGTTCCAAGTTTGGATGTTGCGACCATCCACAGTTTGTTTTGTGGGGTCACACCTTAACGACGAACCCCCCTACGTTTTTTTGCGAATGTGCGGGCAAGCGACCGACGAGGTGTACCTGGGCCGGCTGAAGGTGGCCTGGCACGCGCTGCCGCGGCTGCAGCTGGATGACCTGGAGGCGGGCGGAAAGCGTGTCGGGTGTGTCTGCTTGGCTAGGTCCCCCAGCTAGGTGCCCTTTCTCACCCCTTTTTTGGTCGGGAGGCTTCCCTGCTAGAATAGAATACAGGAAAAAGGGTACCCCTATGCTAAGCCTTAAGTTGGTGTCTCGGTCTCTGTGCCTTTGTGCCTTTGTGTCTCTGTGTCTCTGGCTGTCTTGTTTCTCTCTCTCTCTCTCTCTCGTTAAAATACGTCGATACTTTACTACAAGTGGTGTTGTTTATGTTGTCACAAACACAAATGTAGTTAGCCAGCATGCACTCTTTTCCTGGTAGACTCAAGGCCTGCGGTCGGGTAGTGTACATCATGCATGCACAAGGGACAAGTAGTGCAGCATGATATTTGACACGGCCCCTTGGTTAAAAGACCTTGTAGCGTCCTTCTAACCATAGACCCTAAAAGGTGGTATTGACAGTAGTGGCAAAAACCCGAATGCACATGTGTTGGTTAAAACCCTCTAGGCCCCGTGCCGAAATTGGGTAGCTGTTCTGAGGTCCTTGTTGGTGTTGCTTCCCAAGTTCCATTGATCGCCATTTGGCTCAAGACACAATTGAGGTTCAAGATCTGATGTGTGACTGCATACATACGTGATCGGCATTGAGAGCGAAAACACTTCGCTTGCGCTGCATTTGTCAGGACCACTGTTGTAACTATCATTCCTTCTCCCTTACAACGTTTACACGGGTTCGGCTATAACGGCATCGTCCGTATACACCTTTCTACGTGGTTGGTATTACAGCTTGAGGGTTCGGTGCATAGCGTCCCACGGGACGTCACCTTGCCGTCTCTTGACAGGTTATCAGCCGTAACTACAAGCTCTACACTGGACTGGGAGACAGCTGGTTTATTGCGGGTACGGGGACAATAAAGGAACGATAACCTACACAGTACAATGGCGTCTTCGGCGAGCCCAAGTACTGCAACTTTTGGGAACAGCAGCTCAGAGGGATCCAATGGATTGATGGCTCTTCCTGCGGTGATGGATATGGTTGCAGATTCACAGGAAGAACCTGGGAGCGGAGGTTCCGCGCTATTCAGCGACATATCTACTCCCACAAGATCATGGAAGCAGATCGATGTTCATCAGGAGTCGAGGAAAAGAGAATCCCCACCGAGAAGATCATCATCTTCGCCTGCGACACCACGGACGTCGCAGAAGGGCGTGAGATCGACATCGAAGGGTGGGAGGTCAAAATCACCCACCAGTGCAGATTTTCGCGCCGTGATCAAAGAGAAGAATAAGATGGAGGTGGAGATCGGGGAATATCAAAAGACACTTGATGAAATGTCGGCAGCAATGGCGAATCTCAACCAAGAAGACTATGGAAGCACCATCCGGATCCAGGAGCTGGAAAGACGATGCGAGATTGCCAGCAAGCAGTCGGGACATCTAGTGAGTCACCACCAACACCACATGGCTGAGGCATGGCGCAAGTTTGAGGAAGAAGCCCAACAGAAGCGCAAGGTGGAAATGAACGCATTTCAGTACGGGGAGAAGAAAGACATGGAGTCGAATATTATAATGCAACAGATGAGGCAAGCTGAAGGAACTATCATGGAGCAGAAGCGGGAGATTGCATTGATGAAATCCTACTTGGCAAGCGAGAAGTCGGCCGCGCAGGAATCAGCTATACGTGCAAATCAGATACACCGTGAGGCTTCACAACAGATATCAGTTTATCAGCAACAGATCAGAGGCATAGAATCTTCTACATCTATCGAGAAGTTCAACGAGGAGGAGATGGTCCAAAGTCCGAAATCACAGTTGGAGCATGCACTCGTCAAGCGCCCCGAGACGTACTCTTTGGAGGACTCCAGGGAACAGCTGATGGCGAGGCAGAATGACGTTACAGTATTTGCGGAACAGGAATCGAAGAGAGCAGATTGCTTGCTTCGCGAAAAAGAAGAGATCGTCAAACAGTATGAGTCCGACGAGTCGATGAAGGACCAGATGATTGCTGTCGAAGGTGGTCATCGTCAGGATGCGATCTTGGAGTTAGCCCAGGTCAAAGAAGAGAAACAAGAGGAACGGTGCACGATGGACGAGAAGTCGAAGGAGGCTGAGTACGGGAGATTGACAGCTAAGGGAATGTACGATGAGTACCTCGAGGAGATGCATGAGCTTCAGAGACAACTGAAAGAAAGAGAGGCGACGCTCAAGCAAGAAGGGAGTTTTGTACGCCAACTCGATGCTGACAACGAGGAACTACGTGCACACAAGAAGCTGGAGACACAGGAAGCCTCCAGCAGCAAAGATGGACATCGTGAACGAGCAGTAGTGAAACGCGCTGAGGGAGGAACCCAGGCTAATTCAAATAGG